CCTGCTGAATGCCTCTTATTAGTTTTGAAATTCACACCTTTGACTCAAGCAATTCAACTTAAAAGCAATTATGGAAGAATATTCAAGTTTTTGGTTCTATAGAGGAATAAAATCACAAGATAAAGTAACAATTCAGGAGGCTATCACAGAATGTTAAGAGATATCCTTCTTTTATGCTAAAGAAGAGGAAATTACTTCATCTAAACTATAATGAAACATGGAGAAATTCGAAACGAACGTCCATTTACGGGGCTTTGTGCTAAAATGCAAGAGAATAGAATTTGCTTGATAAACTGCTGGCACATTTGAAATTGAGCTTTATCATAATCCCCATTAGAGACTCTTTCGGGGACAGCTCCATCAATTTAGTACTTTTAACAAAAATGAATCAAGTCTTGCAGTGTTCCCTCACCACGAAGGAGACATTTTCAGGGAGTGTTTGAAACGCAAGATTTCCAACAGAGAAGGCAGATGCTACCACTTGTGGAAGCGCACATTTATGTGGGTTCTTAAAGGGTGTGATGTTTTAGCATTTAATAACCCTGCATATAACAGTGTTACTAAACAGGGAAAATCTCTTCCCCCCATTCATACAGTTGTATCAAAGCAATCATGCCACATGTTATGTGATCCTTCCCTTGTGCTTTGTTCTGACACAAATTAGGAGATCAGCTCCCAAGATGCCCACCAGATCTGTGGCTGTAACACTCCCCACATCAACACTGTTCGTGTTCAGCTCCAGAAAAGAGGTTTTCCCTTCAAACAAGGACAGGGAACTTGTGCCATACAGGCAACCCAGTGTACAAGTTAGCCAGCTCCTGCAGTTTACTTTTGTTGTGCTCTCTCTCCCTCTCTCTCCAATCATCTCAGGACTTTTTACTTCCCTAAGGATTCTCCAGCACAAAGGCAAATGAAAGAAACTTTCCAGGATTTTGGAGAAATTGACGGTATGCTTTAATATGCTCATTCTTCTGCAACCCTATTGCTCTTTAAGATAGAAGTGATGAATTACTGTACATATTTTGGGGCTGTTCCTTAAAGGAATAGTAAAGCACAGGTAATAATTTTAAAACAGGAAGAGGTATGTCAAGTACAAAAGTACTTCTATTGTAATAGCGAGCAATTTCAATACTCCAGCTATAACAGGAAGTTGCTGGAACACAGTTAAACTAAATTCTGCTTAGCTCCTAGCCATGCAAATACTTCTTTTCCACTTTCCCATCAATTACAGAAGTACAGTAAGTGGTTTTGTTCTAAAGTGCACTATTACAGGGGACACAAGCCATTTTTCTTCAAGTGGCTGGAGCTAACATTTAAAAAAAAACGAATTACATTTGGCAGATGTGAAGCATGCTCCAGTTTTTACTTGTGTTGCATTAGTAACTCACACCATTTGAATCAGCTGAAAACAGGTAGTACAACTGCATGTCCTAATCAGACTACACATACTTAAGGTGGAAGTAGAGCTGTTTCTAGTTCAGTGCTGTGTTCACAATTGGGAGAGCAGTCATCATGAAAAGCGAACAACTACTGTTAACTGTTTACATGCAAACCATAGCAGACATGTACTGTGAAGGAACTGTTTTAATGCAAAATTACATCATCTAAAAAGTCAGAGGTACCATCATAAAGACACATTTTACGTTGATAATTTTATACTGAGACCTTATTAGGACAATTACTAATCCTACTAAAAAAGTAAAGCTAATCAGAGGTATGCACACACTTTGTATGCATTTTAGAGTGAAATACATCACTCTCACAAACATGACCTTCCATTGCTGACAAAGTGTACCAAAATGTAAAAAGACCATAGAAGTGCAACTTCTCTCGATTTTGTAGCCTGTTTGTACCACGTGTGCTTATGTCTCCTCTTACAGAGGCCTCAAACTACAGCATAAGCTTGAACATGTTTCTAGGATGAAAACAAAACTATCCATTTTCTGAAGCTTCCAGTCCCATGTGGAATGCATAACAAAGTCATGTCTTAAGCGCAGCGGGTGAGTTTCTACGATGCTAGCATAAAAATATAAATGTCCTATGGAATTAATCACTATCATTAAGCACTACTGCAGGGGGGTTGGACAAGATGCCCTTTAAAGGTCCCTTCCAACCCAACACATTCTAGGACACTACGATTGATTCTAAGATCATTAAACATGATAAATTAACCATGGAAGCTGCATCTTCATGCTCAACTCTTTGACTCACAGAACCATCTTAGAAAAGAAATCTAAGTATCTCACTGTGCATTAAATACCACCTTATTCACATTTTGCCTAGTCTTACCAATACTTCACACACAGTATGTACCAACGGTACCTAACCACAGAGAGATGGCATCTAGCCAGATGCACAGGTAGGGGTGTTGGGAAACCCAGTTCCATTCTCCTTGAGGAAAACTGGTAAACTTCAAAAGCTGAAGGATCTGACCTTATACCTGAGACTGTTACTGGCAGGAGCTCTCTGACCAGTACAAGGATGACTATAAGACAACTACAGCAATTAGAAATTGTTAAATGCAAAATTACTAACATGTTGATCCAGGAAGACAGCCTGGTTTTGTGAATAGCTTTATGCTGGATGGTAAGGAGGATCATATTTTCTTCAGTCAAATTTAAACTCAACGATAGTATCAAAAACTGAGGTGAAAGCAACACCTCTCTAGTACAACACCCCTTTGCACTCCATCAACAGAAAAAGCTCCACAGTGCTTTTGAGATCTGATCAGATTCATAGTCCAGTAAATGAGAGAAAACAGTCTGTCACTTCAGAAAAGATGTCAGATCACATCCTCAGCTAGGTATGAGCTTTCTTTAGTAGTATTAGAAAAGGAGAAATATCTGCTTTGCAGATATTCTCCCACTCCCAGTGTTTTTGGAGCCTGGATCAATAGCTGCTCAACCACAACAAAATGACTGCTTAAATAACAGCATATTCTGATTCAGCATCTTGACTACTACAGAAATGCCTTACTTTCAGGCTCTAGGGTCTGCAATTTTCTTCCCATTGAACTCCTTGGAAAAAAAAAATACCGTCATAAAACACTACTAAAACCATCTTCATGGTTCAACACTGATCACACGAAACTTTTCTTCAATTTTCCCAGTGCCTCTGCTTTACCATTACATTAGATGCCAACTGTATCAAAGAAAAAAACTACGTTCTTCCTCTAGAATTTCAATAACAAACCTCTATCAGCCAGTGCTCCCACTCCTTATGCTATCTCTTCCTGTATTAAACTACCCTTAGGTTTCTTGAATTTTCATCCTTAGTCAAGCAAAACATTCTCCTGTACATTATCTACACAGCTATTTATATGTCTTCAAATGCCATCTTTGGTCTTATGTCTATCCATGGTTACATCAAAATGACTGGTTAACAGAAAAGTCTAACTTCTGGCTTTCTTACTCCTCCACATCTGTTGTTGCCATTTGTCTGTGAATATGGAGTCCAAGATCACAAAAACCTCAAACAAACAAATCATACCATCAGCAAAGCTGCGCTAAGTCTTCACAACATCAGCTTACTTACACCAATGTTCACATATTGTTTTTCTTTTGAAATATCATTTACCTGATTTGTTCTCTAGGCTTCAAAACCTCTGGGGCAAAAATTATCACCTCTGTTCAAACTATACTTAGCAAAATAAAGACTTAAAATAGGTTAAAGCTCTGAAATGTTACTACAGTATATTGCTTCTTATGCTGACAATTCTGTTGCATTTTACTGACAACAGTTTGCATGTTAGAACTAAGTATAGACCTTTATTTACTTACTATCTTTCGTGTAGAAAGGTAACTACTGCCCAAAACCTCTCCTGCATATCCAGCTGAAGGAAGGGTTGTACAATTTAGCCTGCCTTCACAGCGGAGTGGACAGCCAAAGCAGGACAACCACTGAAGAGTGACAATGCTAAGACAACTCAGAATCACTTACTTTAAAAGTGACTTTTAAAGAAGCCTTTATCTCTTACTTTAGATGGTTTATTTACATTAAGAAAATTGCCCCAGACTGATGGCCCCAGGGCAGGACTGAACAAACTATGGTCAAGGCCTCTAGGAGCTGCTTTCCCTCTGCATGCCATGGTTCAACGAAACCATGCACAGAAACCTAGAGACTACTTACAACCATTGTCCGGGCACTGAAAGCACCAACTTAGCTAGGCCATGTGAGGTACTTCTGGTTCACTCTTCTCCTAAATTTCAAGCATACCTAAAATTCAAGCAGCACAGAAACTGTGATCTCCATTACGACAGTGCACAGAGAAGGTGGCAGTACCCTATTTTGACCCCTCTTTCTGACATAAGAGTATCATAATATTTTCAGTCAGAAGGGCTACAATATATTGGTGTTTACAAGAGGTGATACTATTGGATCTCAGCAGCACAACATCATAGTCCCCTGGTTATAGATGACATACAAAAAATTGTATGGACTTACTGACAATTGTTCAATTAACTTTTTTAGTTGCCTGTGCCCGTGCTTCTCAGCGATACTTGCTGGATCATCTCCATATTTGTTGGTTATTTTACAAGCCCGTGTACCCTCAGGACAACTGAGTAGAAATGTTGCAAGGTTCCTTAATCCAAATCTGGCTGCACAGTGAAGGAGAGTAGGAAATTCTTCCAGATGGCTATCTGTATATGGAAACAAAGTTTTCATAAAACAGAGTTTTGCTTTATAGAACACCTTTCTCTTTCTTTTAGAAAAGTCCTTTGAACATCAGTGCTACAGAATCACAGTTCTCAAACTGCTAATACAAAACCTGCATCCAAAGAACAAATCCTCCAACTAACAGTTCTATGATTCACATACGCATTTTAATAAAGGAGCCCTCAGTGTAACTGAAAAATCTATTTTCTTCTTTTTTTAAAATGTCAGAGAATTTAAAGATGAATGTACCAGGTAACTGTTTATAGGCTTTATCTGAAATAACATGATATTAATTTCTATCACAGCCTTTCCTTTTCCCCTTGGAGGACTGGGACAAAGCTAAACTGAAATCAGTTTATCATTTCAGCATAGTCCTTTATTCTAACTCTTAAAAGTGGCCACAAGTTGCACACAAAAAAACAAATTTAAAAAAAAAAAGAAAAAAGAGATAAGACATAAACAATACTTCCCTCTGCCTCTACTTTCTATTCACTTGTGGTTTGTTGTGTAGTCATTTGTCTGTGTAGCAGCGTGCACTGTAATTCTTTTCCAAGTATGCATCCAGCCTGCCCCAGGCACCATCAACATCTCACACCCTCAGGGTCTGTTGGTAGTTTCTTTATTACCCACTGCGTGAAGAAGTGCTTCCTCTAGTTTTTTTTGAATCTAGCTCCTGCTAGGTTTAATTGATAGTCCCTAATTCATCTTATTCTTCATCCTTGTCTGCCCTCTCTGCACTTCTAGTGATTTACTCATTCCCAACATTTCTTTCCTGAAGAGCTCCAGTCTACTTAATTATGCTTCCTAGAGAATCAACTCCATCACCCCCACCACTCTTTTCTGAATCTTTTCCAGCTTTAATGTAACTATTTTGAGATGACAGAAGAGCTTCACATGATAGTTAGCTTGTGGGTGAGCATTGTAATTTATGCATTGTCATAATTATGTCCTGTTTTTTTCTCTATTCCTTTTCTAATAACTCCTAGTATTTCATTTGCTTTTTGCTCTGCTGCCTAGCAACAAGCTGATGTTATCCTGGAACCATGTGGTCTTATTTCTCAGTGCTAGTAGCCTGCTCAAAACTTCTAATTTTGTATGACAACACAGTACTGCTTTTTCCACTTGCATCACTTTGGTTTTACCTACAATGAATATCTGACATTTTTATTGCATTATCTCACAAGGCCTTTCTCCCATTTTCTCCCATTCCTCCTTCCTCACTACCCTGAATACTTTGTATTACTACCGTAAGTTTTATTCATATGTGCCCAATCAGTTACTGACTTGCTGAGGTTCGCTGACTCTTAGAAAAAACACCGAGAAATCTGCAAAGGAAGACTTCACATTACAGAAAATTTCACACAGAATCACAGAATGTCAGGGGCTGGAAGGGACCTCAAAAGATCATCTAGTCCAGCCCCTCTGCCACAGCAGGATCACCTACAGTAGGTCACACAGGAATACGTCCAGGAGGGCTTTGAATGTCTCCAGAGAAGGAGACTCCACAACCTCCCTGGGCAGCCTGTGCCAGTGCTCCGTCACCCTCACAGGGAAGAAGTTTTTCCTAATATTTTTGCGGAACCTTCTGTGTTCCAGCTTGTAGCCATTACAATTCCTATTAATTTGTCTGTTAGAGATAACACATTAACCTGCTTCTGGCTCTCAAGGTTCATAGAGAAACTGGGTTTTGGCATCACAGTTACACCCTCTAGTACCACAGAACTGAAGAATTACACACTACTGTTAGAAATCCAGCCAGTTGACTTTTAAATTTCCTCAGAGCTCTTAATGAATACCAGCTAGTCCTTGTGCTCTACCTGCCCATTTTTTGCTCTAATTTTATGATTCCTTTGACAGTCTCTTTCCACATGTCTCCCAATCAGGACTACAGCTTGGGAATCTACATAGCTTCTTCTGGCTTTCCAGAGTCCTCTTTTACATTCCAGTCATCAGTTGTCCCACAGGCTAGCCAGCTATGAGTCCTGGAATTATCAGAGTTGCCAGTCTTTAATCTTTCTCATTTTTACACTCTTCTACATACTAAAATTTGGCTCAGCAATAGCGAGTTCGTGTACCTTCCCCCTCCCCCTTTCTGCTCCTGCAGAATGTTAATATGGAAGAGTGAAACCTCACCCCAGAATTAGATAATGCCTGCACCAATCCGGTCACTGAGCTTTTGTCGACAAAGGTATGCATTTTAGCTTATACACACCTTTCCACTTACATTATTTTAACTTTTTTTAAAAAACAGAGACAACCTTAAAACTATACAGCAGGTAAGATTTTTGAGAAAAGTAGGTGCTGCAGAACTTTTTTACTCCATACTGCTCAACATTTTAACCAAAGCTCCACAAGTTAGACCTAATTCTGTTATTAGAAGAACTATAAATGTTCCCCCAGAGTACGGCCATTTGAATTGTTATTTTTGTCTATACTTCAGTAACTGCAGGACAAAAACAACCTCCTTATAGACTGAGGAAAATATATACCTACTTAAGAAGCTGTCACATAGGCAGTAAAAATATACGCAGGTAATTCTAAGGCTGGTACAAGAGCATCAAAGCTAAGTGTACTTTTACACATTACACAGGATTCTCTTAAACAACAACAAAAAAGTGTCCAAGTCCAAGCTAGTATTTAAAAAAACAGCCACAAATCACGGTCAAATTGCCTTTCTTTATGCCTTTTCTTTATATCTTTTGCTATACCTTTTTTTATGTCCAGCAATGAAATAGGTGTTGAGTAGAAATTCTGAATGGTAATAAACTACATGTACTCTAATCAATGGTCTGCATCCTGTTAGCAGACTCTAAAAGGTCAAATACAGTTGGTAAAAAGAACCTTAACAGAGTATTATTAACATCCTCTAAAAGAATTTCCACTCATGCTAATGAAACCTGAAAAAATTGTTTACAAATCCAAAAGGAGAAATCTATATTACCAATGGACTGGATGCTGTGACTTCTTCATCAATATAAAGAGAAGATCTTAGACTGAAAGGCAATTTCCAAAAAGGTTAATTTTAAACAAGCATCACTATTACATCTCTGAACAAAAATCTACAAGGATTATATTTTTTTCCTGTGAAGGTGTTAAATCTGAAGACTGAGCTTCGTTATTGAAGTGTTAATTCCAGGATACAAATCTTGCTGAAGACATAAATCTACTAACAGTTGTATAGATAATTTCATCTATTCTATTTTTTTCACAGCATCTACTTCACAAATCAGCATGAAATGGAGAGTTCTGTCCAGGATTATTCAAATTACTTTCACAGCATAAATTTCCATCCCATGCTTAAAACAGGTGCAACAGACAGGAGTGCCACCAAAAGACCGCAAGTCCAGAGAGCACAAATGCCATAAATTGCATTGGGATTACAAAATTATTGTAACCTATCTCCTAATTTAATTCAAGAGCTCTCTCTGCAATATTATTATTACAGATAAATTTAAATACTATGGTGAAACCAATTTCTACAATAAATACGGCTTTATTATCTATTAAAAAAATAAATAACTGAGCCCTGAAATGAAAGTCTTTTGGTAGTACAAAAAAAAAAAAGATTGCATAATAGCAATTTTAACAGGAAGTGAATGCTCTGGGGAAAAAAAAAATCATTGCATTTATTCCATTATTGGCATACTGTTATTACAAGTAAAACAGAGTAAAATTGGCTGCCTGAAATAATTTGTTTTGCCAAATACGTAGTTTCTGCTTTCTGTGACTGGATTTTTTTAGCCATGAGCCTTCCCTGAAATTAAAGACAGTTCCTTTTTACTAACATAACTGTATGAATGCATCCTTCTTCCAAGCAAAGATTTAGCAAAATGGAATATTGACAAAACACTGGAGTTTTGCCAGGCCATGCAACATAATACGCCGTATTACCATCAGTCGATGTGATCATAAAACACAGTATACAGCCACATTCAAGAGTGTCAAGTCCATCCTCATTCAGATATTACTGAACTTCTCAGTGCTTCTATTCTGTTCAAAATAAGCAGAATCCAAAGACCTACACAGGCCTCAGACCTATTTTCCCTTCCCCTCAAGGAATTAATCCTAGGCCTCAGATTGATACAGTTGGTGCTGCTGCTGAGTTAGAGATTGGGCAACAAACAATGTAGGAAGGGAAAGCTCGCAGCCTTGACAACTGCTGTTTCTGCATTCCAGTCAGCTGTGAACAGTATCAGCCACCAAACTGTACCAGTTGCTCCCAGAGATCATCCATAGGTGTGGAGGGAGCCGCGCAAACACCAGAAACTTGTGGGAAATGCAGGCATGCAGCTTTGTCTATTGGTCCTGGGCCTTGAGATTCCATTCATTTAACTACCAATTTTGGACCATAAGAGTATCTTCAGGTTAAAGAGAGACAGATGTGCAGCGTGCAACAGCACGGATGAGGGGGCCCCTGACTTGTCACCTTGGCTTTCCATGCACTAAATGCCTTGTAAATACATCTTCTCCAAGGATCAGTATATGGTGGTATATTGATAATATAGAAAACAAGCAAGTGCTCAATCCACAGCCACTGAGTTCATGTCATCTTCAGTCGCTACAGCACCACCAGCCTTACTCTCAGAAAGGGAGGTCCTCCACATCTTGTTTCAGTGCTGTGCAGGATCAGTTGCCCATTACAGAAGACACATGGAAAAGCTTTACTGAGTGGCTCAGACAGATTTAATTTCGTCTACCTATGAAACAGAAGCCTGGTGCCATCAAGTTATGACACAAGGCAAAAAGTTATTGTGAGGACTATCAAATGACATACTGATCTCCAACAATTTAAGAAAGCTTTTAATATTCAGATTTGCAAAGCCATTTCACGCAACACAATGGGCAGCCTCCTGCACACGCAAAATAGGATGCAATCTTCAAGGGCCAAACTTTCCAAGTGCTGCTGACAGAAAACTATGAACTTTAACTACTTGAGGCCACCCTTGTATGATCGCTCTCTCGGTAGATGCTACATCAACAGTTG